TTTTAAAAAGATGATTTACGACTCAATTATAAAGACTTGTTTGAAAAAGGCTATAATAAAAACTCTTCCTCCCCTCCCCTCCCCTTTCCCCCCCCGTGACTTTTACCCCGAGTCAAAAAAAAAGGAAAGGAAAGGAAAGGAAAGGAAAAAAGGATCATAGAAAATTTCTTTTTAAAAAAAAAAAAATAGCGTTTTCCCAATTATTATCATTATTATTATTTTTAATAAATTTATTTATTTATTAAAAAAAATTAACGCCATTTTTTTTTACAAGTAATAATAATTAATAATTATTATTATAACTTTTCTTCCCTCATTTATGATTAATTACGTAAAGATTTTTTTTTTATTTTTTGGGAAATGACCGCGTGGGAAATTTTTAAAATTTTCTTTTATTAATTAGTTTTGTTAATTAATTAATTAAAACGAGACAAACCAATATATTTGTTTACTTTTTCATTGTAAATACCTTTTTATACGTTAAATTTTGATTATTGTACCTTATTTGAACCTTTTTTTTTAACAAAATTATTTTCGACATGTCGTATATTTTAAAAATCGTGCAAATAATAATAATAATAATAATTTTAAAAAAAGTAAAAGAATAAGGGTATAAAATATGGGTTTATGTTTTTACGTCAAACCTTAAATCGTACCTTCGAATACAAAATAATAATTTTAGTAGAATCAATCAAATCGTACAAACCTTTTCAAAAAAAAAATGATATCAATGATGTGTGCAGATGAGAAAAAATTGATTTGATTATAAAAAGGTTAAAAAAAAAAAAATGTTAAAAGAGAAAAAATAAATCGATTGAGAGGTTGTAATTTGAAAACAATTACCTTAATTTTTTTTTTTTTTTTTTGTGAAAAAACCTGAAAGTGCACCTGGGTTTATTTTTCCTTTTGAAAAAAAAAAAAAGAAAATTTTTTTTTTTTTGTTTTATTTTCAAAAACCAATTCAAAACCGCACACAAAATGAAAATTAATCTTTTCCTATGATATTTTCCAAAATTTAACTTCTTTTCATAAGAAGAAGAAGAAGACATTTTCTCTTGTTCTTTTTCCTTTTATTTCTTTTTTTTTTTTATTTTCACTCTCATCTCTCTCTCTCTCTCTCTCTCTCTTATTCTCATTTGGCTTCCATCTATTATATTAAGTTGAATCGTGAACAAAAGTCCACTTTTTTGACTTAGAAAATTATAATTGAATAAAGGTTTTCACTATAAAATAAGGTTTTCCTCCTCCCCGCCAAAAAAACGAAAGGGGAAACTTGCGGATGTGAAGAGGGGAGGAAAGGGGGGTGTCACGGAATACAATTTAAAGCACAATAAATCTTATTAAATTATTATTATTATTATTATCATTATTATTATGTTTTCATTCATTAAAATCATATAAAATTTACTTTTTTTTTTTTATATATTGTATTTAATTAATGATTTTGAAAACTTTTCATGTTAATTAATTTTTTTTTATTCACTCTCTCTCTCTCTCAACATAAATGTACGCCATTTTGTTTTGTTAGTAATAATAAAATTTATTTAAGAGTGAAAAAAAAATTGTCGTAAAATCTTTTTTTGTTATTTTTTTCTTCTTCCTGTTCATATACCGATTGTGGTTTTTTCTTTGATGTTTTTTTTTCCCCCCCCCCTTTTTTTTTGTGACGTATACAAAATATAATCTTATATTATTAACTTTTTAAATTATATAATATTAATCCATTACATATATTATTTATTTTAATTATTTTTATTAAAATTTAAAATTTGAAAAAAAAATGTCGGCTGCGGTTTTTTTAATATTTTATTAAGAGTGGCAATGTCAAAAATATATCCGGGAAACCACCACCACCCCCCTCCCCGCCCCATCAATATATATATATATATATTCTAAAAGATATATCAATTTTAAAGATATTTGATATTTTTCTTTTAAACAAAATTTGTCTTTTCAAATTTAATCTGGCATCATCTGCTACAATTTTCTTCTCTTTTTCTACAGCAATTTTCTTTCTTTTTTTTTATTATTACTATTATTATTATTATTATTATTATTATTATTATTATTATTATTATTATTATTATTATTATTATTATTATTATTTTATTACTTATTAAATGATGTTAGCATTTTTAAGGATTTGAAAAATAAAAAAAAATTGAATTTATATTAGTAGAAAAATTTATGAGAGTTATAATAACATGGGGGGGGGGAAATTTAATAATAAAAGTTTATTAATAATAATGATAATAATAATAATGAAAAAAAATAAAAAGTAAAATGGTCTGTCACAAGTTAAGAAGATTAAAACTTGAAAAGCCATCGTCAAATCATATAATTTTTTTTTTTTTTATTATAACTAAGAAATAATTAGTTTAAAAAAGTTTTTTTTTTGTTTTAAATTCACTTAAAAAGGAAGAGGTTAAATCAAAAATTAAAAAAAAGGAAAAAAGGAAAAAAGGAGAAGAGAGAGAGAGAGAAAAAAGGTTAAAATTCATCTTTTATGAATAGACAAGTGAAAATTTTTTCTTTTTCTTCGTCCCTTTTTTTCCCCCTTTTTTTTTTTAATTGGACCTAAAAAAGTCAGGATTTTAAAATACTTTTAAGGAACTTGAACCTTTTTCTATCGAAAACGTCAATTTACACTTATTATTATTATTATTATTTGAAATTAATTTTTTAAATAAATTAATAATAAGTTAGTAAAAAAGGTTTAGGAAAAAAGCAAAAAAAAAAATTACAACGAGAAAAAAAAAGGTGAAACGTATTTTAAAGAAAAAGAGAGAAAAAGAGAGAGAGAGAGAGAAAGAGAGAGAGAGAGATTCTACAGCATCGGCGTGCTGTCTGGAACACATATCGATCCCGCCATCGTATGATACGAAAAACCGACACTAAATATTTCTTTCCCCTTTTTTTCTTTTTTTCTGCCAACTCTAAATTTTTTTTAACGATAACGTAATTATTTTAAGTAAAATTTCGACCAATCAGAAAATTTATAAAAAATAAAATTTTAAACGTTCGTTAATTTTCTAGAACAAACGTTGGGAGAGGTTAAATAAAACTACAAGTAAATGATAACAAAATGAAATTCGAATATCTTTTCTTATATTTAATAATATATTATTGTAATTAAAAGTGGAAAAAGAACTATAAAATAATAATAATAATAATAATAATAAAGAAAACTTTTCACTTAACTAAAGTTGCAAAACTGAGAGAGAAAAAAAAAAAAGGAAAAAAGGGAAAAAAAGATTACATGGAAAATGGACGCTCCCACCCATCAACAAGAAAATAAGTTGCAACAACTGGTTCAGAAACGTAAGCAATTAACACTCCTGCACACAGGATTAAGCTTTTAAACTTATAATTACTAAAAAATTATTAATTTTTTTTTATAAGATAAATAAATTTTGAAATTTTTAAATTAATAAAATCAAAATAAAATAAAAAATAAAATAAACCACACAATCAAATATTGGTCAAATAAAATTTAGGTTAAACCCACAATAAAAATTTTTAAATAATTAATTAATTGTAATTAGGGGATTAATAAAGATTTGGGATGACCCAATGCACCCGATGGAAGAAGTTAATGAACAGTTTTAAACAACCAACAAATAAACAAACGGGCATGACTGTTTAAGCCAACAAACAACCAGATAGTAGGATATCGTGATATCTACACGATAGATTATAATCCAAGAATAGCAGAAAGGGATACAAAATGGAAATGATTTTAAAAATGGCGGATTGTTAAATGTTCTTAATTTTTACAATTACTCTGAATTTGTCAGTCGTGGAAATGTTAATGATAATAATCATTATTATGACGGAAAAAAAGGTTTTATTTAAGGGAAAAAAAAAATTCTACGAAAGGATTAAGTATATAGCATGCCTCCCTCATCATTTATTCCTTAGCTATATAGGATAGAAACGCGAAATGAATAATGTACTACTACTCCGGACTCCAGAAGTAGTCGTGTGTAAAAGAAATAATGATAATAATAATAATAATAATTATTATTATTATTATTATTATTAAAACCAATGATGTGATTTTAAATAAATTATTCTGCGTCATTAAATTTTTCTTTACGTGTGTCTCATTTTCCATATAATTATTTTATTCTTATTTCACGATGAATTACTTTATTTGATATATTTTTTTTTTTTCGATAAATTTAACGTATTAAAAAAATAATAATAATGATAATTATTTATTTAAAAACAAAATGAATAATCGGCGTGAAAAATAATTTATTTTAATTATAAAATTTTAGGGTGAAAAATTGGGCATTGAAATTTGGTGTGGACCTTTGGGAATTCGGACGACAATTTACTAAAATGAGCGAAGTTCAAAGAGTAAGTTATTTTTTTTTACGAATTCATCACAAAGTTAAATTCTTTCTTATTTTTAAATAAATATAAAATACAATAATAATGCCTTTTGTAAAAAAAAAAAAAAGCATAAAGTAAATAAACTTATTTGTTTACCGTTTAGAAATATCACGAAGCTGACGTGGAAGTAGCCAAAAAAGACGGATTAATATTAATTAGAGAAATGGCGGCAGAAGTTAAAAACATGATGGATATTAAAATGAATGCTGTTATGGTGAGTTTTATTATTCTAATTAAAAAATATTTTTCATTCGTCTTTCCATATCGAAATTATATTTTACAAACGTTACAAATAATAATTAATGTTGGAATGCAATCATCGATATTATTAAATTTATTTGTCATCAGTTTCACCTATGTAATAACCGTTTTTTTTTTTTTTTTTTATTTATTACACTGACGTACATAAAAAAAAAAGTAGAAAACGAGAAATAATTTCAATTAAATCCTTGGCAATAATTTAATAATGAATGTTGTCGTTTTTTTTTTCTCGTTCGTTAAATCTGAAAATAAATTTTTTAGTTTATCCCTTTAATTGAATTATTGTCATTTACTAACTAAACATCTGAACATCGTCTCTGAGGAGGACAACGGTTGTTTGTTTGTTTTAAAATTAACGTGTGTTGTTTAAAAATTTTATTAATTGAAATTTGATTTAAAGTTTTAAAAAAAATTTTTTTTTTTTTCCACAACCGATTTATAGAAAAAAAATTAAAGTTTTTGATATTCAAAACCACCCACGCATTACATTTTTTATATTTTTTTATCCAGAGAATCATGGATTCGGCAGAACAAGCAGCTTTATCACAAAAATTTGATCCAGGTCCTTCAAATAAATATACGCAACGTTATAATGTTCAAAATGGTAAAAACGTGGATGGTTCGAGAAACATGTTTTTAAAATCTGACGAACGTTTCGATCATTTACCAGTAAATGCTAATTTTAGTTCAATATTTTTATCACCCGGTGTTAAAGAAACTGGTAAATTATATTATTATTCAATTTAAATAAAAAAAAAAGGAGTGAATTTATTTTATTAAATTTTTTTTTTCTAACTGTTATTAATAATGTTTAAATAGATCCCGATGTTCAAATGGGAATACGTTGGTCTGAATATTTAGATCTTTTATTCGTTAATAATTATGAAATGGATCCTTCTTTATCTTGGCAATATTTCGGTAGTTCTTCTGGTTTTCTGCGGAGATATCCCGGTATTAAAAATTTCCTTTTTTTTTTTTCAATTTACTGAAAAAATTTTCATTGATTGTTAAATTAAAAAATTTAAATTTTTAGCAATTAAATGGCCACCCAATGAAGGACTCCTTGAAAAATATCAATTTCATGACTTTAGAACAAGTTCGTGGTACATTGATGCTGCGACAAGCAGCAAAGATATTGTTATATTGGTAGATTCATCAAGTTCTATGGGAGGAAAGAAAAAAGGCATAGCTAAGGCTATTGTTAATATTATATTAGATACGTTAGGAAATAACGATTTTGTTAACATTTATCGTTTCTCAGAATCGGCAACGGAAATAGTTCCGTGTTTTAAGGATGTTCTCGTTCAGGTACAAAAATACTTTTGGGTCAACATTAAAAATACAGTTTGATAAACATGATTTTAATGTAAAAAAAACGTTTTTCGTACGACTTAAAAGAAAATGTTTTTTTTTTTTTTTTTTAGGCAACCGCCGAAAATATTAGAGAGCTTAGAATTGCTTTTGATTTTGTGAAATACGAAGGTTCTGCAAATTTCACATCAGCGTTAGTTACTGGATTTGAAATTTTGCACAGGTATAATAGGACAGGTCAAGGATGTCAGTGTAACCAGGCCATCATGCTTATCACAGATGGTCCATCTTCAAGTTATAAAGAAATTTTTAAACAATACAATTGGCCACACATGCCCGTACGAATGTTTACATATTTGGTCGGAAAAGACGGAAGTAATCAAGAAGATATGAATTGGATGGCTTGTGCTAATAAAGGTAAATAAGAGTCATCACTTAAATTTTTTTTTTTGTGGAGAGAAACGTATTACAAAGAGGAAAAATCAAAATTTTTAATGATGTTATTTTTGATAAAAGGATATTTTGCAAAAGTTCAAAATTCAGAAGATGCACAAGAAAAAGTTTTGCAATACATAGCAGTTCTTGCAAGGCCCATGGTATTATATCAACACGATCACCCCGTACAGTGGACACCTGTTTATGCTGGAAATAAATTTTTTAATTCGAGATCTACAGTGTCAGAAGATGATAATTTAATGACCTCCGTGTCTACCCCTATTTTCGATCGTCGTAATTATTCAGTTAGTAATTTTTTTTGTAAATTAATTCTTTAATCGTTACAAAAAAAAAAAAAAGTTTGCAAAAGTTTTCTAATATGCTTAAAACACGCACAAAAGTCTTTAAGAAACATTCAAGGTGATGTTAAAAATTAAAATTAAAGGTTAAAACTAAAAAAAAAAAAAAATGGCGTGTTTTTTTTTCTTTTACAGGAGAAAACCGCTAAGTTGTTAGGGGTGGTAGGAACTGATGTACCCATAAGCCAAATAAAAAAATTGGTTCCTTCGTATAAGGTAAAATAAGCCGTTAAATGAAAACAGTTACAAATTATGTCGTCATTAAATAATTTTTTTATTTTATAAATTTAATTAATTAAAAATTTTAGTTAGGAGTTAATGGGTATTCATTTATTGTGGATAATAACGGTCACATACTCTACCATCCCGATCTCCGTCCTTTGGTAAGATTTTTTTTTTTTTTTTTTTGTAAATAAATTTAATAGTACTTTTCATTTTATTTATTTATTAAATTATTTATTTTATTAAAGCTGCGAAAGGGTGACGTGAGTGTGTCAAATCATTATTTTTTCTACATTTATTTCTTTAATAATAATTTAAGGTACCAAATAATTTTTTTTTTTTTTTTTTTTTAGTTTCAGGAAGCTTTAAAGCCTAATTATAACAGTGTAGATTTAGCTCAAGTTGAATTAGTAGATGGTGAATCGGGTGCTCCAATGAAAAATCACACACTTTTATTAGATGCAAGTATTTCTATTTATTTATTTATTTATTTTATTAAATTTAAATAATTTATATAATTATTGTTTTATTAATTTATTAGTTGAGACACGAAATGATCGATCAAAAAGAAGGCGAAACTGAATTAAGCGTTATAATTCATTACGATAACATGGTAAGATATTAATTTTATAAAAAATTTTTTTTTTTTCAGCCGTTTGTAATAAAATAAAAATAAAATTTTTCAGAAACGTGTTATGAGTCGTCGCCATAGATACTTTTACAATGCCATTGACGGTACACCGTTTTCCTTAGGGATTGCTATACCTGAAGGATATGGCATGTACGAAGTTCTTGGCGAACAGGAAATTAAACACAGCCCGGTTAACGGTAAATGTTTATTAATTTTTATATTATTTTTTATTTAGAGTTTTTTTTGGGGGCATTAACAAAAAAATTATTTTTCCTTTTTCATTTTAGTTTTAAATTATTTTCAAGGATCCAATTGGAAAATTCATCCCGATTGGTAAGTTCTCATCAATTTCCAGTGTACACAAAAAAAAAAAAATAAAAAAATTTCGTGTATAATTTCAATAAATTTTTGTTATAGGATATATTGTGAGTACAATTACCCATCTGATTTTGTTTTCGAATCAGCTGAGGAAAAATTGCTCCATTTTTTGGAGAGAACTCACAAACCGGGCTGGAAATGGATGTCACTCAGACCGAGATCTCCAGTTAAAGAACCCGGTAAATACAAACAATTTTTCAAACAAACTATAACTTTTATTTTTTTTTTAAATTCATTTTAAAATGCCAGAATGTAAGAATTTCAAAAAAAAAAAAAAAAAATTATTGTATTACTTTAAATATTTATTTATCTTTCAATATGAGTAGTATGAATTTAAAAATAAAAAATAAAAAAATTCACATTTATTATTTTTTTTTTTTGATTAAAGGTTACGATTGTGGAGCCTGAAAAACAAACAAAAAAAAATTCAAAATTACTTTTCAATTAAATTGACATTTTTTAATTAATTAATATTTTTTTAGGGCACACAATGAAAAAAA